AGAGTAATCACAGCCTCTGAAAGAAGAGGAGAAAGAGGACTTTTGCATCCAGGGGAAAGAGATCTCTGTCTTCCAAATTATTCCTTTAAAACAAAACCTTACATTTATTTTAAGCCAGACATTTATAAACTGGTTCAGCACCGAGGTTGATAATCAGGATGCTAAGAAGTTCTAAAAGCCATGTTATATGAGGAACTGGAGATGTTAGCCTGGAGAAATTTAGAGGAGACATGATAGGTAGACTGTTGAGTCTCGAGAGATGCTGGCTCAAATCCTGGCTTTGCCACTTTTTCTATCCTGTGACTAGACAGATCACTTCAATTTTTCAGGCCTTTGTTTCTTCATCTATAAAATAAAGATGCTGGTGGGGCAGGTAGGTGGTGAAGTGGCTAGAGTCCCAGCCCTGGAATCAGGAAGACTTGAGTTCAAATCCCACCTGAGACACTTAGTAGCTGTGTGACCCTAGGCAAGTTACTTAACCCTGATTACCTCAAAAAAAAAAAAGATGCTGGATTAGATGACATTTGAATATCAAATATAAAATCCTCTGTTTGGCTTTTAAAGTCCTTCATAACTTGTCCCCTTCCTACTGTCCAATCTTCTTACTTTTACTCCCCTTTTCATACTCTACAATCCAGTGACAGCCTCCTTGCTATTTCTTTTACAATCCAGTGACACCATGATCTTTGCTATTTCTGGCACAAGACACTTCCACCTCCTGACTGTATTTTCACTGGCTGTCTCCCATGCCTGGAATGTTCTTCACTTTACCTCCACCTCCTAGCTCCCTGCAAATCAGCTAATTCTGCCTTTTGCAAGAAACCTTTCTTAGTCCTTAATGCTAGTGCCTTCCCTCTGAGGTTTCAAATTTACCATATATATATATGTCTTTATGTATATACATATATATACTATTTTTGTACATAGTTGTTTGCATATTGTTGCCCTACCCCCATTAGAATATGAGCTTCTTTTTTTGTTGTTTGTTTTTAGGCAGTTGGGGTTAAGTGACTTGCCCAGGGTCACACAGCTAGTAAGTATCAAGTGTTTGGTCTGAGGCCGGATTTGAACTCAGGTACTCCTGACTTCAGGGCCAGTGCTCTAGAATATGAGCTTCTTGAAGGGGCTGTTTTTACATTTCTTTGTATCTCCAGTGCTTAGCACAGTGCATGGCACATAGTAAATGCTTAATAATTGTTTGTTGAATGATTGATTGATCTAAGTTCCTGGTTAGTTCTAAATCTGTTATAGTATTAGCCTATTTCAAGTATTTGAAGGATTGTCATAAAGAATTAGATTTATTCTTTGTAGCTGAAAAGAGTAGAAAGAGAAGAATTGAGAAGGTACAGGAAGTACCCAAGATGAGACTAATTTACCATTTATCAAGTATATTATTGCAGGGATTCCCACTTTGAGTGGTAAGTGGAACTGTATGACTTCTAAAGTTCCTTTTAACATTAGGTTAGAACATAATTTGGGGATTCTTTTGGAAAGTTTAATTTTTTCTTGTTAGTTTTTTTTTTTTTTGTTACGCAAAGGGGTTAAGTGACTTGCCCAGAATCACACAGCTAGTAAATATTATGTGTCCGAGGCTGGATTTGACCTCAGGTCCTCCTGAATCCAGGGCTGGTGCTCTATCCACTGCTCCACCTAGCTGTCCCTGAAAGTTTAATGTTTCTAATGGTGCCAAGTGTCTCCTTGATACAAAAGCCCAACTTTTTAACATTAATATTCTTCCATTGATGTGTGGTTGTAAGTCATAGGATACCATTCTCCAAAGAGTTAAGGCTCTGAGTCACTCAAATGGCAATGGAAATACGTTATGATGATACATTTGGAGGATGCAGCCTATTACAAATGAAGAATTGTGCCAAAGAAGTGGCATAAAACCAGTAGAGATGTAACCAGAAAAGGAAACTGGTAAGAGGAGAGATGATGAACAACCTACATGCACCACTGGTACCAAGAGATCCAGTAGAAGGTCCTCAGCCCATTAGATAAACCCTCTTGGAAGGATTTGAGGGAAGACGTAGATAGAACTAGAAGGCTTGATTGAGTTGTAATCCATACCTTCAGTAGGAGCATAAAACCAAAGATCCATTGTATGGAAGAGTCTAAAGGTTATCACAAAGTAATTTTAATATAGCTCTTTGGTAGTCAGAAAACATTTCATTTTCCTCCCTAAGACTTGGTAGAGTGCCTTATATGTTAATATTTAAGTTCTGTTTCCTGTCCCAATTCAGATCTCTTCCCTTTTCAAAGCTGATGTAATTAGGAAAACGTTTATTGGTTTACGGGGGAGGTGGAGTGGTATAATTGAAATTGGTATATTTGAAATTATAAGATCTGGGTTTGAATCCTTCTCTGTTGCTTATTACCCCAGTGACCGTGGGCAAGTCCATGACTCTCTCAGGGACTCAGTTTCCTCATCTGTATTCCAAACAATTAAGAAAAACATTAAGTAGCTGCTATTTCCAAGGCACAGCGCTAGGGGGTGGAGATACAAAGAAAAGGAAACAGTCCCTGCCCTAAAGGAGCTTAAATTCGACTGCAACGTCAATACACGTCTATAGAACGTGTATAGAGATAAACAAATACAAAGTAATTTCTGTGAGTCGAGAGTGCGTACTAACAACTTTCGGGATAAGGAAACGCCTAGGTGGGTCAGTGGACTAGACTATCTAGTCTGAACTAGACTAGACTAGACTAATCACCCTGATTTTATATCATTAATTCACTGATACTGTGAAGATTCCTCCCTCTCCCCCTTCCCCCACGAATATGCCCCCAGGTTATGGAAGGCTGGAGAAGGAAGTTAAAACTAGTAACCTGCTTCCTTTGCTCTTTGTGCAGTCTATTTGAACGTAAGGAGTAATTGGCATTGAAGCTCCATTCAGAACTTCCTCATCTCTTCAGAAGTTCAAGCAGGGAAGTTTTTAATCTTTTAAAGAATGTCTTAATTTTACTCCTGTGAGCCTCAGCTATAGCAATGTGATGGAGGAAGCTTCCGAGGAAAATAAAAGGACATTTTTATAGACGCTAATCTCCCCAACCCTTGTGGATAGGAGCCAGATCAGACTGTCTTTCTTCTGTATTTGGTGATAAGAATGGCTACTATTTTCACCCCAGTGCACAAGTCCCCATTTTAAATATGGCCTACTACTGGCAGACCAACTCCTCCTCCTTTCAACTTTCTTATTACACAATGGGAGGGGAAAACTTCTCAGTGGTGGGGGCAGGGCTGTTTACCCCATTCCCCTCCTCTCCCCAGGCTCTCTGGGGTGCCCTCAGAATTCAATGTTTTTACTAAAAGTTGAAATGTAAGCTCCTTCCCGGCACCTTTGGGAGGAGAGCTTTTGCAGTGCCTAATCCTTCCTCCCCGCCGCTTTCAGACGGCTGCATAATTGTGGATATGGGGGCGCGTTTGGACCCCAGGGAACCCTTTGTCCCTCAAGTGGGCTCGCTCCGACAACGTTCCACGTGGAATTAGTGGTTGCCAACTTTCAAAAGAAGGAAAGAAGGGGTGGCAAGGAGGGGGGATAGGCTCAGCTCGGGGATGGCGGTGGGTGGCAGCCTCGCGAGTACGGGCAGGCCAGACCCGTTAAAAGTAATAATAAAAATGAAAAAAAAAATCCAATTATCTGCGTGGGGAGGGTTGGGGGGATGCTCCGAAAGCCCAACCCCTCCCCCCCGTCTAAGGACTGTCACTCTAGAACCCTTCCCTCAGAGAAGCAGCTCTCGATCCCTTGGGATTAGAACCCGCGGAGCCCGGGGATTCCAGGAGACAACCCGCTGGACCACCGGGATGGGGAGAAGGGGGAGTATGCTTCACCCCAGCTCCCCTCCCCAGCCAATCATCTCCCAGCCGCGTATGCTAGGAGGCATTTGCCGGTGACACAAAGACTTCGTGGGGAGGGAGGGCGCCGAGGACCCCCTCCAGAGACTCCGTCCCGGGGAGCCGCCGCCACTGCGGCCAGAGGGCGCGCTCCAGGGGCCGACCCCTGCTTCCCAATTGAGCCGAAGGCCGCCGGCCCGCCTGCCAATCCGCCGGCCCAGCAGCCCACCTCCCTCTCGTAGCGGCTGTGCGAGGCAGCGGCCACAATGGCCTCCTCCTCCGGGGCGCCGCGTTAACCCCTGCCCGCCGGCCCAGCCCGGCTGCTGATTGGCTGAGGCGCGGTCCGGGCAGCGGGACGCCCCCTCCCCCACATCTTTCCCTCCCCCTCCCCCACCGGCGGCTCTGTCACCCCCCCACCCCCCTCTTCTTCCACAACCACCACCAGCACCACCACCACCGGCACTACTACTGTCTCCCCCCCACCCCCACCCCCGCCCCTCCGCCGTGCAAATCTCGCGAGGGAACACGCGGTTTCACTAGTGTGTTTACACCTATCACTACTAATCCGGACCGAACCGATCCGGATTAAGGGGCCGGAGGCGGGTCCTAGGCATCTGCGGTTCCGACCCTCCTCAGCCCAGCCCCCCCTTCCCTGGCGTCGCCTCACCCGGGCTTCCCCCCCGCCCCACCTCCGGGCCCGGCACCCCCACCCCCCACCCCCCGCGCCTTCCCCGGCCTTTGTCCGGCGCCAGGAGGCCGGTTCCGCGGCCCCCCACGGCCTCCCCGGCCCCAGCCCCGTTCGGGCGGCCGGCTCGGTACGCGAGACCGGGGATCTGCGGCCTCCCCGCCCCCTCCCCCTCCCCGTTTTCCTCCCTCCCTCCTTCCCTCCCCGCCCGCCCGCCCTCGCGTGGAGCCCGGCGCCGGCGGCGGCTGCCCGGGCGGGGGGTTGCGGCGCTCAGGAGAGGCCCCGGCTCCGCCCCGGGCCTGCCCAGGGGAAGAGCGGAGCGGCCCGGAGCCGGGTCGGGTTGGGTCGGGGCCCCTCCAGGGAGGAGCGGCGGCGGCGGCGGCGGCGTCAGGTGAGAGCTCGGCCGAGCCAAGCCCGGGGCGGGGGCAGGCGCCGGGCCGGGGCCGGGGCCAGGGTTGAGGATGAGGCTGGGCCGGGCGGGCCCGGCGCTCTCGTAACCGTCCCCGGGCCCCCCTGGCGCACATGGATCCGGGAGCTGGGCCCGAGGCTTCTCGGGCGGGAACTGCTGGGAGAGCCGGGGCATCCCCAGACCGAGGAGCGCACCTCGACCCCCGGGGGCCCGGCCTCTCGCCGCTCGGCCTCCAGCCCTGCCCTGCCTGACAGGTGGGGCCGAAGTTGGGGAAAGTTTGCAGGCGGCTGGCAGAGGGCTCCGCGAGCAGGCCCCAGCCGGTGGCTGCGCTACGAGGCCCCGGACAGGCGGGTGGGCGAGCGGCTAGGTCGCTGGTCCGGCCCTGGGGCTCACCCGGAGCGGAGGCTGGAGGAGGACGAGAGGCTTTTTTTTTTTTAAACGTGATTTGACATTATACGTAGCAACCGCCGAGGCGTTATTTTGTAGGCCTGGGCTGGGGATGGGAGTTGGAAAAGGTCCGATGGATCTCGTGGTTTGAGAGAAGGATGCAGTCTTTGCGAAACCGGCCTCGGTTAAATGGGAAGGACGAGACTTCGAGGGAGGCCGGTTATTTTTGGGGAGCTCAAAGTCTTTTGTGGTATTTACCTCCCCTCCCGCCTAGGGAGAATTCCGCTACACTTTAATGTGTTTATATGTGTGTGTAATAGGGTAGGGGGGAGGTGCGGTGAAACTTTAATATTAATCTCCCATTTCTCTCTCCTGTGGCCTAGGCTCTTGATTTAGCAAGGGAAGGGAAATGAAACTGGAAGGATGTATATATTGGTTGTTACTGGAAATTGTGGGCATGTTAGCTTGCTAAGGAGAGGTTTGAATCATGGGTCCAGTGAACTTTAAAATCATCCTATCTCTTCCTCCTTTTCCCACCTTCTCCCCTATTTGCATCCTCCTAACTGGTTAACTGGGTGTTTGAAGGTGTCAACTGTAATAGGTACATCTCCTCTGTGCCCCAACCCCCCCATCCCAGTTTTGTGTCAGGGCTTTCTTGTGAGTCTTATTTGCAGGGGTTAGTCCGTGAATATAAATAAATAGGTTTGCTGAAAGTAGCATGTATGTTATTTAGTAATAAGAGCACTGTTAAATATGGTGTACTCTTGCTCCTCCCTGTTTGGAAAGAGTATTAAAAGACAGATGTGTAGAGTCTAGAGAAATATAGTGCTGCAGGGAGTGGTCAGAAAAAAAGAATTAGAAAAAGGATGGCTTTATGTATGTATATGTGTATACTCTACTTTCACTGAAGGATGACTTTACCATCAGTGCCCCATTACATTAAAAATGAGCAAGGCCATTTCTCCTGAGACCTCTTCAGAGAAATCATAGTATTATTTAGAGTTGTCTGTGGCTTCTGATTCATTCTATAGTCTTATGACATTGTCATTAATGATTCATATCTTTATCTCTTAGAGAAAGAAAAATCTAAAACCACCTACCCAGATTCACATGCTTAGTATATCTTTTCTTGTGGGGCAGGGGGCAAACCCTTATTTCCTATACACTTTGCCTCTGCTTTTCACAACTTCAGAGAAGTTTTAAGAAAGGATTGAGATATTTTTCTCTTAACACCTAAAATTTCTCAGATTTATGGGTGAATAAGACATTCTTAAAGTTATAAAAGGTGACTTGTAAATAGTTTTATTTTCTTTGTAGCATAATAAAATTTATTACTTAATGTATACTGTATTACTTTGAGGGGGGAGAATTCACTTGACCATTCAGTGATAAAATTATTCGAATTTCATCAGGCATAAAAATTGTTTTTTCCATTTTTGAAGTTTTCATGTTCTCATTTTTTCCTCTTTTCTACCAGAAATGATGGAAGAATTGCATAGCTTGGACCCAAGGAGGCAAGAACTGTTAGAGGCCAGGTTTACTGGAGTAGGTGTTAGTAAGGTGAGTAAAAGTGATGCTAATGAACACATTTCCTTGTCTAAGTTAAACACTGATTTTATCTATATATATGTGTGGATGTGTGTGTGTGTGTGTGTGTGTGTGTGGTGTGTGTGTGTGTGTGAATCAGAATGGTCCACCGACTTGAGAACAGCTTAGTCAGACCATATTCTTGGTTCTTTCTGTCTCTGCTAGTCATTGACATGCTTTCTGTAAATCAATTTTTTTGCACCATTGATTTTCTTTTTAATAATACACACACCTGTTGTCAGGTTTAACTTCATGTTTGTTAAGTGTTTCTATTTTTCTTGAGTAAAATACTATGAATTGTATAGTAGTATCATGTATATTGTAGTTCTTAAACTTTCTAGTTTGAAGCTTTTTTATTACTTGTACAATATAGTATTGAAATTCTGCAGATCCTCATTGAAAGTCTGCAGAATCTTCATTCCACAATATAGCAGATTCCACCTAGTTGTCCATTTAGCCTGCTTTCTTACTCATAATTCATAGTTTGACTTTCTTTAGGGGAGGTTTGGAGAATGGAATGAAATTAAGGACTGGCACATGTATTATTTTGAGTAATATGCATTCCAATACATTTTCTTAAATTTAAAGGCCATTAATAATCCAAAGTCCCAAATAACTTGAGTTCAAGAAGCATTTTTTAAAAAATTTCAAATGTGAATCACCATATGGTGGACCATTCTTTGCTTCAGTAGATCAGCTTTTGCTTGGAGCCAGTACCAAGGACTGCTGTCACTGGATATGTATCATAACATAATTGGTGGACTGATTGCACAAAACAAAGCTATTTAAGATTAAGCTTTATTTGTGAATTCTTATTAAGGTAGAAAGTGTTCTCCAGAGTGCTTCTCTAAACCTTGATGTGCATCTATGTGTATGAATCTCCGTTTACCAGTTTGGTTGCTGGTGGTAAATGATTGGGTTTGATGGACTTGGTGCAAACTTTGTAGCTCTTGTGCTCTTTAGGGAATATAGGCATTTGCATCTACTTTTCTTGATTTTTGTAACAATCTGAAGAAGCTATATACTTAGACATTGTGTAGTCAGATTGCATGTACTGATTGTTACTAGTAAATGTGATTAAGGTGGACCCCGTGCCTTCAGCTAAGATATTCCATGAGAGATTTTTCTATTGGAAAAATATTACACTTTGGTTCATTTGAATACTCAAAGGATATTTTGATTTAGAAAACCGTATACGTCCAATTTCTTGCTTTAGTGTCCTCATGGAGAATAAGGTTCCTAGATATTGTATAACGTAAGTTTATGGCAAAGTTATTTGGGGTTTAAATTCATTGGACTTAGATATTATTGGTGTGTATTATAAGAAGTAGTATGATGTAGAAGGAACTTTGACTTGGAGTTTTAAGTACTTGGATTAGTCTTGCTTTTGGAAAGAACTTGTCAGTTGAGTGTTTCATGGCTGAATATACCAATACAGGACAAAATGCTTTTCTCAGGTCACCACTTTTCTAGTCGTGTGGTCTCCTCCCTACTAGGATGTGAGCTCCTTGTTGTTTGAGACTGTCGCATTTTTTTGCGACTAAACATTGTGTCTGCCCCATAGTAAATGCCGTTTCATTCATTGAGTCATTCTTAGCTGTATTGCCTACTCCCTGTGCAACATTTTATAAGTCATTTAATTTCTTTGTGTCTTTAAAATGAGGAGGTTGGAATACTGTGTGGTAGAAAAAAATGTGATAGAAAACTATAAAGTTCTTTCTGGAGAAATAGGGAAGGATAGATGTTTTGTTGAGAGTGAGTATTAAATTAGATATTTGCGAGAGAGAAATGTGAAATAATTCATTCTAAGTATTCGTGTGCATATTTATGTATATGTATATTAAAAGTATATATATTTGAGGCATCAAATTAAATAATATATGTAAAGTGCTTTGTACCCACTTTGTAAACTTTAAGGCAGTATATAAAAGAGAACTATTGTTGTTTTTCACTCTTTTATACCACATGTATGACCTTGGGCAAGTCAGCTAACTTTCCTCAGTTTCCTTATTTCTAAAATGAGGGGGTGGGTGGGAAAAGAGATGTTGGATTAGATGGCCTCTGAGATCTCTTCCAGCTCTAATCTATTATGCTGTGATTAGATGATATTTGAGATCCCATTCAGGGTTTAGATTCCATGATCTGTCCCTCCCTGTTTGAATTTTTAAGATGAAAAATGGCTGTATCTATGTGTATAAGGGAGTGTGAGGGAGGAGATGGAGGAGGAATGACAGTTTCATTGCTCAAATTAAGATTATGGCAAAGTTTAGCTAGTGATAGGAAATTTTAATATAGTAGCCTTCCGACTGCAAAATGGGAAGTTCTGCTTTGGTATCTCTGTGCAAGGGGAAAAAACCATACCTATTTTTATGCTATTGTGTATAATTTTATTATTTTCCAGTAAGAAAACTATATTAATTGAAAGGAGTGATGTTCCATAAGGAGCAAGTAGAAAGGTTTGTGATATCAGGGAAACTGTGAAAGAAACTTTTTAGTAAATTATAGCATAAATAGAATTTGAGGAAAACACTTGCATTTTGTGGTGGCTTTCAGGTTATTTTACCTGTCATTAATAAGTTATTGTAGCCCTCACATGCACTTATTTGAGGTGAAGGAAGGGAGCTGGAGTGATGAGGATGCTTTTTTTGCAGAGTTTATTGCCAGTCTTGAATCCCCTTACTAGGGTTCAGGATATTCATAATAATGCTTTTGAAGTACCCGTGACAGATTTCAGTTTTGCAAAGGCCTAAGAGAGGTTTTACTTGTATTTTCAGAAAACAGAGTTACTTCCCTCTCTTAGTGCCATCTAGTGGGATTGGCACAACCTCTTGGACTGTCTCTGTGTTTTTCTTAACTGTTTATGACAATTTACTACTTTTTGATGCCCATAGAAGGAAGAAAGTAAAGGTTCATGTCATAGACTCTTTACCAGTAGGTAAGTGGCTCAGGAATAGGCATAGTTTTTAAAATTACTAGCTACCATATAACTCTTCAGTCATGACAATTGCATTTTTTTTGGCAGTTGAATTAGATATGGATTATAAAAGTTAGGTCTAAACAGAATAACCAAGTGTGTTAATAATCCATTGTGCTTATTTGAGCTTTTTCGTGATTCCTTAATTTTGGTGGATACTTAGAATAATGTTCAGTTATTCATTTATCTGTGCCACAGTGCCTCTCATTATCACAACTAGTCTAAAACCTTTTATACTTAGTTTTGGGATGTACTACGTGTACACTTATACGTAAGAATAGAGACTGGACCTGTGATTTCATTGGTATAAAGAACTCCCTGGTGAGGAAACTCCCAATGCCTATTGGTACGTGCTCGGTAACTGTTAGTTTTAAAGAGTTGCCTAGAACACTGGAAGGTAAGTGATTTGCCCAGGGTCACAGTGCCAGTATATGTCAGAGATGGGACTTGAATTCAGGTCGTCCTGGCTTTGAGGCAAAACTCTATTCATTGTATTATGCTCCCTCTCTCTAAAATATAGTCTTTAATATAGATTTCCTGAATGGGCACTATTTGATGGTAGTAGTGTAGATGCTTTCTGAGTGGTCCAGGAGCAACTCTGGAATAAAGATTTCCTTTGGTAATTCTAGAAATGAGATAAGATGGAGCAGATTTCTATTCTACATTTTAAGAAGGCCTGAAACCACTATTTTGAAAAGTAAATCAGTTAAATTGGTTAGTAGATAACCTTCACACTTCTTCATTTTATCGTTTGGACACATGAGACACACCACTCTTTTGTTAAGTATTAACTGTAGGTAACTCATGAAGTATATAATCTCTATATAGATGATAGGAGGTATTTTACATTTTTATAATGCTTTTAGTGAAGGCTTATGCATTATAGAGATAGTCTTCTTTGTCTCTCTCCTTTTCATAATGAAAAATACAGATGGTACTTTTATTTTTTTAATTATTTTTTTAAATGGGGAAATACCCTCTACCAAGACAGATTAGCAAATGCTGTGCAATTAATAGTCTTAGAAGTTTTCTGGGGGCACTGAGAGGTTAAGGGGCTGGCTACTGTCACATAGTCAAGAAAAGAAATGTAGACATCCATCACTTAAAAGATGGCAAAAGGCTTTTTGGGGTAAGGGGGATCCATTTGCCATTCAGTGGTCCAGTGGTTCATTGACATTTGATCTCTTAATGCAAGTAAGGCTTGACTCTTTTAAATGCCACATAGGAAAATAGAAAAATGTTAATTAGTGAATAAGAGTCTATAGTGTATAGGAATTAGTTGCATTAATTATATACAGTGTTAACTCTTTAACATGGAAGTGCTGGTTACAATTTATAATAAATTGAGATGTAAAGTATTTTCCATTTGATAAGTTATCATAAAATATTTTTTACAGGTAAAAATTCTAAGTGATAGGAATTTGAATGTATGTACTTGTCTGTACTTGTTCCAATGATTTTTTAAGGAATTGTACTCCTAGATTTGTTATACTTAAGGCTTTAGACTTGTACCTTTTTCTGTTTATTCTATCATTAGCACACTTTCCTTCTTCTTAGAGCTTTTATTCTCATGTCCTTTTCATCTTCTGGTACTTATGGAGACTTGGCCTTCTCCAGAAGACCTCCAGCACCTCCATGGCGGTCCCCTCCAGCAGTGGATACATCTTTTTCATTTTCTCTCTCCTCCTCATTACTCTCTATCCAAGACACTGGACCAGAGGGTGGAGAAGGATCTCTGCTGCTTCTATTACTTAGCATCTTGTCTTCCTTTAAGCTGTATGCCTTCTGGATTTATTGCTATAACCAGATCCTGCTTGTGGTTATCTATCAGCCTTTAGGTCAGCTCATAATCTTCACCCCAACTCTTGCCTTATCTAGGGGATTTCAGTATATCTATTAAAGTTCCATTAAACACTATGGCTTACCAATTCATCAACTCCCTCAGCTCCCATGACCTACACCTGTCCTCTACCTCAGCTACACATAGATCTTACCATCA